AACAGAAAACGTCCTCGTGGATTGCTCCTTTTCTTCGTACAATCATGGTCACTACAATGGTACACCAAAGCTAAACACAGATGAAGAATGCTCGCGCGCCAGGTGTACCTATGATATAATACAGAATTAACATACTGTCTCTGGTTTCACTTTCTAATTTAAACATTCCGTTTTTATCGTCCCATTTTTAGAAATTATCGTCCGGATTTACTCTTTCTACTTTGTAGCCGTATATGTTTTACCATAAATTCCATCAGTTATATCCTTCACTGTGCTACTCGTGAGTAGTTACGTCGCGATCGCCAAAGATAGTCAAGGAGATTAGACGGTATCCTTCCTCTATACGACATACAGCAACACCGTCATTCATCTGGTTGAAGGAGACGACCGAGATGCGTAGCCAATGTTTACTTAAGGAGAGACCTGTATGAAATGATCTACAGTTGCAACTCAGCAGCATGACACATCGTGGCAAGAGACAATTCCAGAGCTGAGCCTAAGCCGGTAACGGGCACCTAGTAAAACAACTATCTTTTCAACTGTTGAGGACCCATAGACAAAATGCAAAAATATAATATTACTGCACAAATAAAATACTGATACGGTCAAAATGTAAAAATAAACTGAAATAAGGACAACAGAACACAACAACATGCGTGAGAGCACTAGACTCACTACTACTATCGTCCCCTCGTATCCAGTTTACTCTGTTCCATTTGTACTTATCCTTACTTCACTCTTGATGCTTGTTCCTCTTTATCCATCTTATTGTGTCACATGTCTGAGCCGACCCACGAGTTTATTGATCGAATTGATTGTTTCTCCCCTTCCTTCCTTGTGTTAGTGACCCATGTTACCTCCGCTGTTCAGTTGACTAAGCCTTCCGATCGATCGATAGATGACACTTACTTTCTCATCTATTGTACCCCGACGCGAACACTTGACCACTTGCATGTACCTTCGTGATTCACACACCAACGTGACTGGGTGATCGCACGCACGATTGATGTACACACAAACACACAATACACCGAACCCACTCATTGTCATCAGTCCCCTTGGTCGTCTCTTCTCTTCCATTTGATTGGTTCATTGTCAGTCATCAGATCCTTGTGCGGACGTCTCTCCCTATTCATTCTGACCGTTGATCTCGATCGATCTGCACGTGTAAGCGGTCGTTGAGTTGAACGCATTGACAGCCATTGAAGGCTCCTTTTGACACATCAAAACGCTGTCTTTCTCTTGGTATGTTGTTGTTATTTAATTTGTTCTTTAGACACACTATCTTTAGATTGTGCCTTGACAGTGCAAGCTCGCACTCACAGAATTGCCTCACGGTTCGAGGTTTGTAACTTTTATTCGTAATCATTTTTGTCATGATAGTACCGCGTTTCAAGAGAATTTCGTCTTCTGTGGACTTCTGGATTCGCGCGCCACTCGATCGTTAGGACGGATTGCCAGTGTGCAATCCACATTACAGAATCTTCTCAAGAGATTCTACACCCCGAGGCATTTGAAAAAACATGTCATCCACTAAATTAGCAGGGGAATATTCCTAGGCTATCTCAAATGAAGTACCAAACCAATCTATCTTATATGCACAGCTCCCAATGAATACCCTGGAAACAGGATAACATTCACATAGATCTTAGATACGTGTATGGTAATCTGCATCAGGAAATGGTAAGCGGGTCAGTACATAACGAAACTAAGCTAAAAGTGTGCTGATTTCGAGGTCATACATGAAGTGGTGACAGTTGACACTTAAACATTACAAAACGCTAAATGCAAAGATAAATGGGACTTGAAAAGCATAATAACGGTGTATAGTTGACCTGACGAAATGGAGGTTGTCTGAAGATGAATTCTGAATCGGGACTATTTGAAAGCAATCATAAACCTGACCACGTTTATGAAAGCCATTTACTTCAGATGATTGGGGTTATTTTGTTAGGACTAATATTGGGAGTTACAAATGATACCTAACTGACCTAGAACTTCACACCCCTGTGTTGACAAACTAGTCCATCAATAGATCGGTTGAAAGCACGGTTACTTTCATCTAGTAATTATTGTTTTCATTCGGTTTTAGGTAATCGACCACCGGCTATTAAAGGCCTTGATTAAAGCAACTGTAACCTTCAGACACTGGTTCAGTTTAGTGGATCACACTCCATTTTTTAGCAACGAGGCAATGAACATTTCACGGTGGTAGGTGATAAACATGATTGCATATCACTAAAGGAATTCCGGACGCTCAATTGGCCGGGGCCATTTTTTGTCCTGAGCAAACGAAGAGCAACTAGAAATTCGCTCCACCGATTGTACATTGACACTCATGCAATTTTTAGACACCCGACTCCGCTACCACCTTCAAGTTCCATTACACGAAGCGGACTGAACAAAACTTACCCTTTGCGTCTGCTGTTTCCCCATCTCCTTATTAATAATACGTTTTGTGTTATATATATGTATATCATATCTATTATAAATAACCCTATATCACCGTAATGCCCCGTTGATGCAGTTATCGAAAAAACAGCTTATTTCACCTACCGGACTTTGTTTTCAATTATAACAGTTGTTATTATTATAATTAATATATATATTAAAAATTAGTATAAACATCTATATTATTGACGGATCCGCAATAAACGGGTCACTTGATCGCCTCTTACCACAGAAAAGAAACATTCGTCGCATTTATCGACCGAATTTGACTTGAACTAGATATAGGGCAAACCGCTTAAACTGGTCAGGGTCTCGTGTCCGGTATCCAGAACTTTAGTTGCGCCCTTCGAATATAAACTAGCTGTATTGGTAAAAACAGAATTCAATGTCGTACCCTTTCGATCCCAGGGATTAGACAGACTATTTTATTTCATTCTCAAAGCGGATACCACAGAAAAGGTAGCGAAATTCATATCGGCTTCCATATTCATGTAGACTTGGTGGTTTGTCTACTGTTCGGGTTACTGTATAAATATAAAAATTATGACCAGTTTCGTAATACTAAATCGACAATCGTAACTGGCCCATTTAAAATGGACCGAATGGTGGAAAAAGAAAAGAGCATCAATAAAGGTTGGCAATAGTGACGTGACTTAACCTATTGCACCACATTTCCCAGTAGCCCGACATTACGCCGTGCTCTTCTTACAAAGATTAATGGCGTATTGGGCGCATTACCTGGGACTGCCGAGTGGCAAACCCGTGATGGATAATTGCTTGACGCACCAGAGGTGCCTGATTAAAATCAAAATTTGGCTAACTAATCTGTAGGTGGAGTAAGGATAAATACCTATAAAAATAATTCACATTTAACTTACAGTAGTGGTGTGGGATAATGGATTGGTTTTAAAAATACGCGAGAAACCGCTCAGCATTGCAGAGTGAACTGCAGCACATTACCAACGGGATCGAAAAAAGATAAGGAGATTAAAACCGAAGGTTAAATACATGCACCGAAACCACCACTTATCGAAATAAAACGAAAGCTTACTAAGAACAAAGTGCACGTTGTCGAGACCAAAGCGATTAATCTATCTTTCAGTCCCGTCAGATAAGCTTTTCTGAAAAATTGCACATCATAAGCGATTTGTGATGCAAGGTCAATTCGTTTAAGGTGTACGATTGCTGAAGAGGGACTCATGGTTTCGTCCACGCGCACTTCGTTGTTGACAATCTGTAGATTTATTTCGACAATTTGTGGGTTGGAAAAACGTAGTTTGCGTGGACAGTCCTTCGGAAAAACTGAGAGCTATGAAATAAATCTCCTCCAGACTCGATTGAATGCTTGAAGCAGAAATCGCATTGGGCATGGCAGTCAGATTAAGTGCGTTTACAAATTCGCCACCACAGAGTGCCTGGATTCAGATGCAAGACAGTCCCGATCACCCGCATGGCTGAAAAGGTCACATGCACGATGGAGAATATTCACATGAACTGCGTGCGGTACACACCGGACCCAGTTGATCGATAGCGGCCAGTGTAAAACCGTAGACGTAATGGAAACACGCCTTTATCTATCGATCTTGGACGGCAGTGCACATACACCGAACCATACAAACACGTGCACAATCTTGGGGTAGGCATCGGTTGCATTCCACTGCAACCGTAAAACCAACCACGATGGAAATCAGGCAGCATGCGACAGACGTGTACGGTAAGCTTTTTCTCCCCTGAGCGGTTGTAATCGTTCGGATTCCCGGTTTGGTATGTCGCAAATGGACGTGTGCATGCTGACATATACAACTGGATGTTTGTACGATGTGCACGCTTTGGTCAGACAGCAATCACATCTGTATACTGTCTGCTTACGAAACATCGTTTACAGAACCCAAATAAGTTAAACGCATGGGATCTATGAGCATCAAGTTAGCAATACTCTTTCCCGCCTTACTCGTATAAGGGGATTTGAATTCACGGAAGAACTGCAACTTGGTCAAAAGTGCGTGTTCAGTTTGTTAGAAAAATAACTGACGTTGCTATATGGTAATAATGACAGTGTGAGAGCAATAATAATCATCATCGTCATAATGGTAGTAATCGAAATCACTGCAGGAATTACTGGGACGACCAATCGTGATCATGAACAACAGCAGTACTAGGCAGAGTGAGGGCCGGTCAAATAAAGGAATATGCGCAAGAGTATGAAAACGAGGGACAAGAAACGGGCCGAACTAGCATGGAATGAATGGTTGGATATGGTCCACCGTGTCTGGTGAAACGACGAAAGAGATGTAGCCACAAACCAGAGAGCGTGTGGAAGAACGGCCAGTCTGTCACTGACTGATCTAAAAAACACTAAATCATCGATAAGCAGTGGTCACGGACTGCAAAAGAAAGAAGCGGACAAGACGGGTCGAGAGCAGTAACAACGCGTCCAACTGCACTTATGTTGAATATCCATTCAAACGCCCTCTTTTCGTGAAGGATTCAAGAATGAATCAATAATGAGCAGTTTTTTCAAGAGGTGGCGCGTTCCGGAGAGACTGACTCTAGTCATCTTTAGGTACATTGGTAAACAAATAGGACATAGACTCGTCGTTGTAGATACGGCGTATCGCTTCGGCCAGGAGCATACTGATATCCACTGTGCGAATTTTATGGCATTGCATCTTCTGAATCCCATGCGGTACAGTATTGGTTACCACCACCTCATCGATCCAACTCTCCTCGAGCCGTTGTGGAGCATCAGCGCTGAGTAGGCCATGTGTGGCGAAAACGAACACCTGATGGAAAAGGTTGAAAGCGAAAATACAAATGCATTCCGTGGGCATATGGAATTTTTTTATCGCATAACGGCAAAAGGTTTAACAGAACGGATAAACTATAAGATGATCGGACAATCTCTGCCTGGAATACGTGGACTAGTAAAGGGCGCGATTGTGAAGAATGAAAATAGCACGAAAAGCTATCGGCCTCACGATTAAGACTGGGATGAGACTGAACCGGATTTTTCAAGAACTGAAAACCTATAAACTCTAGAATATTGGTTATTTTAGAAGATGAGAGATGTTAAATGATTGACATTACGTAGTCAATCACACTGTGGTAAGATTTTGTCCTATCCGATAGTAATAGAAAAATGGGGTGTAAAACGAACAGTAGACTGTAAACGTTTTTGTTTTACTAATAGAATGATTAATGCAAAGCCCGAAGAGTACCTCGGTATCTAGAAAGTATGTGAACCACGATTCACATAAAGTGTTGATATTTACTTCTACAGGGCTAAACAGGTTGTGAGGGGATCAAATGGATTCATAAATATTCCCAAAAATAGCATCACAAGCGATGTCCTCGGCATTTTGCACGCTTTTTAGTTGGGGTTGCATCTCTAGTTTTTACACAACCAAGTGTAGACATTCCTGGAAGCTGGTGAAAACTCTAAAGTTAAATTACACGGATATAGAGGTCTAACCAAATTCTGCTCAAAATTTGGAGTCCGATAGGGCTTCTCGCTTTCAAAGTTTCATTGAAACCGTGCAATCGACTCAGCAAACCATGGTGTGTTAGCTGACTAGCGTGGGGTTTAAGCATTTGCTGATACGCCTACTGTGGACGCAGAATTTGCAGACGATCCAGCTACCCCGGGCAAGAATTCTTCCACACACTGCAAGTGATCACGTATTCGAATGCGGGAAACTGGGATGCGATGAGGAAGAAACTTCATCCCCAAATGGTGCAATTGAGTGAATCCTCTTGGAACACATATACAGGATAATATTATCTAAGGAACCATCCTATGTTATGATGGTTCAATAAGTAGTGAATTCAACTGACCGGTTCGAATTCGGAGTAAGGATATGTCCCACTCTCTCCCCAAGCCCGCTCCAGAGAGAACCACCAACACAAGCTACTAAATTCGGAGATAACAGTACGAGGACACAATCTAAACCCTTTAACGCAAATGTCTTCCTCCATAGCTCGCATATTAAGTAAATGGTTTCCGGGTTAAGAAAATCTGAAGTTAAAGCAGTGTGGCCCCAACATAGAAAATCTAAGGTTAAATTTGCATGGTAAATGTCATTTCTGTCATATCCGAGACAAGCGATTAGATGCGAACTTCCAACATGCGCCGGGGATAGTACTGTCATGTGATCAAAAGAAGCTGAATAAGTTCTCTACAAAATGAGATATGCAACTTGAAAAAATTTACTTTATATGCTCCTCGCTCGTGCAGCAGGTCAGCAGACTTTACGAATTGTTGCACATCATCGATGATATCATCCACGATTATTGCGATGCGACCGTGTACATCACCGACCAAGGTGGGCGGAGGTTTTGCTTTCGGGACCATCATGGGCAACAGTTCCATACCAACATGAGCTGTCGGCCTGGTTTGTGAGAATGATTGTGGAAGACGAGCGTGGATGTCATATCACAGCAATGCATAGATAATCATGCAAAATGGGATCACACTGCGGTTATTTTTACCTTGAGATAATATCATCGTGAATAAACAGAACACAGTGCATAAGAATAATTCACAAAGTTAACTGTGAGACAGTTCTTCACGTGTATGGTGTCCTGGATAAGTACAAACAATGCTGGACTGCATTCTGTTTAATTTTCTTATTACATACAAAATGATTTGCAGAGAAAGTGAAAACCCCACAATTAAAGTCAACATAAAAGGACAGCTATATGAGGGAATATTCAGGCATAAACCAATTTGTTAAACCCGCTTTTCAAGAGAGTAAGATTATAAGTGTTTGAAAATACAGAGATGGGAAGATAGTTCCACAAAGGAATGGACGATAAAAGTCCGATGTCTGGAGACAGAAATCTGATAAAGGCGACTACCCGTCTGAGAACGCGATGGACGAGAAAAGGTTAACAAAGGTTACGCAATCTGAGTGTGCATACATACTTTTTCAAGCATTCAGACCTAATTACACAGCTACGGAAATAAATATATGGTCTATTCTTTGCGCCTCCCTGTGTACTGACCGTCCGACGAGTTGGACAGACATTCAGATATGTCAACTAACTTATTAGTTGCATCTGCTTCGAACGCAAGCTTTAAATTTCTAAGCGAGGCATCGAAGTGATGCAGCAGATGTCTACAGTTTGCTTAGGAATCGACCATACATACAACATCACCGACGTAACGCTTATGCAGCAAACATTTATTCGTGTTTCCAGAGGACCATTTTCTACGCTAGACACGAAAACAGGTAAACGAGGGCCTTAGTGTTAACCTGTCCTTCTGGCGATAGATTTCATCACTGAACATGAATTGCACACGGTGAGTGCAAATGAATAAAAATCGTTTCAAGTCATCCAGTGGCAGGCTTTTGTCGATCCCGTTACATTCCGTATGACTGCACAACTGAGCTACTGTAGCACCGATCGGCAAGTTTTCAGTCAGTTTTACAACCATTAACCATGCACTTTCGTGCGCCGGTTTTGGTTGCCCATTTGGATAAAAGAGCGAAATGAAGATTGGAATGTCGAAGCAAATTCAAGCGGAAGATGGGGAATACATATAGAGTGGTGTTAGGAAAATAACGAGTGGATGCACGAGCGCCACTGTTTGCGACACCCAGCCATATCGCTCAGTGTCTCTAACCATTGGTGACCATCATCTCGGGGTCCCCAGCCAGGGAGTCTAACGGGGCCTATGTGACCTAGTCTCCTGGTTAGGGTTTTCATACCCTCATGCCAGGTCTTCGTTTGACCACCCTTGACCTTTTTCCAATCGCTACCAGCCTTGGCAAACATCGTTCGCCGTGGCAACCTATCTAGTGACATGCGTAGCACATGTCCCAACCAAACCGATAGGCAAAGCGAAACAAAACCCAGAAAAAACAGGTGGTGGTCTTCGACATTCAAGTTAGTGGGATGAAATGTATTCTTGAAAACATGCTGAGCCATTGTCACTCTCAGTGGTTTCTGCAGGCAATCAAACCATTCGGACTCAGGACAGTAGGGGCCGTTACACATTCAGAAATGGCCTGAAGGGAACTCCACGACCATCCAACCCCTAGGAAACGTTACGCTGACACCAATGATGTTTGAGTTTGACGTACGTTGCACGAGCCTTGCTCGTGGGACTACCTCATTTACTACTCTACAGTCATTACTAACGCAATTGCCTAGGTAGAAGAGGCGACTCACCGCGGGCAATTCCTGACCAACTTGTAGGGCGTAATCCATAATCGGTTTTGCAGCACCACTTTGCACTACATAAAAGTTAAAAAAGCGCATACCAAAAAGCTTGTTACTCTATCAAATGAACTCCACAGCACAAACGGATGTGATTTACAGGCCCCATGGCGGTATTTGAAGGTTCGTCTCAGTGTCAGTTTTTACAATTATTAACCAGGCACGTTCGTGCGGCTGTTTTGGTTGCTCGTAGTGAGTGATATAATCGCATTCGAAAGTTGATGAGGTGGGAAGTGAATGGTGGATAAGAGGGGGAACCGGAAATAATAACCATGGGTTTAACGTGAAAAACAACAACAGAAAGGGGAAAAACAGTCAAATTTGAGAGATATCTGTATTCCTTTTACAATAAATGAGAGCTTAATAACTTTGGTATCCACCTTTGCTAAGTGTCAAATTTCTGTCTAGATTGGCATCATATAGTTCCTTCCTCCTGAGTACCAACACACGCACTACGTAGTTAAGTCGTTTTCAATCTTAATTAACTTTTGACATAGAGGATGAACTAGTTTGGAAACCTCGGTGGCCACAGGATGAAACACGGAGTCCGGTAGATGCATGAAAGTCAAAAATCAGTTCCCTCCTATTGGTCTGTACATTATATATATATATATATATATATATATATATGAANTGAAGGAAACACTGGCTTGCGAACAAGCATAGTACATTGTAAAAGGAAAAAACTGTGTCAAAAGGAAGACTAGCAAGAGACGATATGAAGTTGGCTGACCATTCACTTTTGGTTTAATAGTTTTGAGTCAGAGAAGGAATAAGCGGAGGTAGCTGGGACGAATAGAGAATTTCAAGGGAAACAGAGGAATGCTAAAAATGCATTCCTAACCTTAAGAGGTGATTTATCGATTCACCCAAACAAGGAAAATGTGAGTGAAATGAAGAATGGTATGATTTAAAAAGATAATTCGGCCGACACAATCTAATTCTCGTTCCGGTCTTCGGAAAGTCTACTATCATTTCGGGTGGGGAGAAGTGAGACGAACACATTGCAACCCTTCTCTTCGATACAATTTCAGAGTAATATTACGACTGATACTAACGCATAGTGATAGGCGTACTAGTTTTCAAAGATGAACAAATCAGATCAACAGTATGGTCACGAAAAGTGTATTCTTTGCAAAACGGTGCAGCGCGTTCCCAAGACATTTGATGGGGTATTTTTGATCGCCATCTGTTTTGAGACGAAGTAGATTTTAGTGAAGTGAGGGGGTGAAAAACCGACATACCACAGCAGTTTATATCGATTAGGAACTAACGGCGTTCGGCTAAGGTTTAATGATATTGAAAAGAATGTGCACTGAACGTTTGCTGCTTGGTTAAGTAAAAATTTTCTCTTTAAACGACAATAGCGATGAAGCAATCAAGATAACAATGTGCGCACGAAGTGCGTTTTTTTGCCACCTGAGTTTATCGCAGTAAGGAATGCAAAATCAGAGTTCTTTTCCTTCATAGAATGTTAATTCGTCTGGTCACGAGCACGCAGAGAGCATCATCATCATCGTACAGCGAAACACAGCGAAGCGAACTTCGCTGATCGCTGCCAAACTCGCAACGCAGAGGGCAGTGTGTTCCTTAATCAAATTAGAGATGAGTTTCAAGGTTTATTGTGGGTACGTTTTTCTTCTTTTTTCACACACGTCTGAGTTCAGACTGTGTACCAAACAAATCACGGTAAAATAACCTTTATTAAGAGAAAAAATGTCCCGACAGCACGATACCACTCAGGTTCCCAAGCCAAAGCAGGTGAATATTGTAAGAAAGTTAAAACCGGAGCCTTCAGCTAGCCAAAGTCTGAGCCGCAAGGTAGCGGGGCGGTGTGTGCAAATCGCAATCCATTGGGGGCCAATGTTTAGTTATTAGGACCATAAGCCCTTCGGACAGGGTAAGTGTCCAAGGTGCTCAAT